AACTTAACAACTTAAATTTCTACTACTTTAGTTATAATACAAATTGCTTTGCTGCTAGTTTCTTCCTCCCCACCCCCCACTACCTTATCTACAGTTTAAGAACGCTAATAGCTTCTCCCCTTAATATGCTGTTTCCTGCTTAACCAGTGCCTGAACTACAGTACATGGAGTTTGCCTTGTCACCCTCTAGAGTCCAGGGCTGCATTGTCTTTCTGCTCTTTTCTGCAGGTTCTTTTTAGATTCAGCTATCTCAGGCCTCTTCCTGGATCTTCTCCAGATCCTCTGGCTTCTGGCTCTCCCAGTCATGGCCTCTTCTGCTCCACAGCTTGTCCAGTCATGTCTCACTCCAGCAGCATCTCCTGCCAAACCTAGAAAAACACCCTCTTCCTGTCTACCTGCTCTGGTTTCTTTGATATGTCTTTCTGTTGAACCCTATCTGCCCACCCGCAGGTGCTTCTAAAACTCCCCCCACGTTCTCTGCCGGTGCCCATGGACCTAAACTGGGCAGCTGACTGACCACTGCAGAGGAAAAAAATGTGACCTTCATAGTTCACCCTTCTACACTCTTTGTCTGTTGAAACCAATTTGTGGTGAAAATTGGATTTAGATGGGAGAAAAGAAAGAAAGATCCAGAGGCACAATAGCTTTGGTTCAGACTTCTCTGCTTTGTATTTGGAATCAACTCTTCCAATCACTCAGGCAGACTTTTGAGTGTGGGGTTGTTTGACATAAGCATATTGATCTTCTATTTCTCTGACAGGACTATCGATCTCCTGGGAGATCGATAGTCCTGTCAGAGGAAGCACATGGTAAATAATAAAACTTAAGGCTAAATAAATAAAATAAGACAAAAATAAGGTTTCAGACCCCAGCTCTGCCCTGCCATATGTTCAGCTGGCAGTTGCTTTTCTTTCTGGTGGGTGATTCTTGCTGGGAGGGAAGAAGTAGGTAGGGAATCCACCAACCGCTACCTTGAAACTATCCTGCATTACACGGGGTGAGGCCCACAAGACTGCAGAGGTGGAGTACAAATCAGCTGTTGGGAGAGGGCAATTTATGCCAATATACTTTCCTCCCAACTTCAGGGACAGGAAGAAAGCACATTAACGGGGCTGTGAAGAAGAACCTTTTGTTTGGACTGCCTGACTTCTCCCATGCAAACATCCTGCAATATCTAGTGTATGCCTCTTGGCTCTCCTCCTTCCTTTAATGGAAATCCAGGGCATTTTCTCTGTCTGTATGCAATTGCCACCTTGTATTTTCACCAGTCTTCTTTCAAATATGTTCTTTCCCAAAGAGAGCAACAGTGTGATGTTCGTTTGGGTCTTTTTCTTTTGAATGATAGCAAAAGTGTTTCAAAATGATGAGAAAAAAAAGGAAATGGAAGAGAGAGGCTAGATAGATCTATGGCCTGTCCCTCTTTTTCAAGTTATTCATGGAAAAGGAAGACTTGCTCAGGCCCAAGGCTGATTCATAATCCTGTATCTCAGGGCTGAGAAGCTGTGGTCCCCAGCACTCCACTTCCTTATCATACTACTGATTTCAGAGAAGAAAAACAGGAACTGAAAAATTCCCCTTCTGGTGGTATCAGGGCATCACTGGATGAACTGCCACCCTTTTGAAGGTTGGGAGGCTGAGTTGTAGCCTCTAAGCTACAAATATTGTCCATCCCTGCTGTTAAGTTATTTCATATAAACTATAAAATAACTGACAGCAGGGATGGGCAATGCTATATTTATATTTTATTTTTATCAGATATTTGTTCCAGGACAGCTTGCATGAAGATTTTCCTTCATTTTTTCCCCACAACAACAACCCTTGAAGAAAGTTGCACTAAGAAAGTGAATGGTTCAAAGTCACCCAGTCCTATTCAAGGTCTCCAATTCAACACTTGAATCATTATACTACACTTGTTTAGAGCAGGGATGATTAGCTCCGGTGGGAATTAGGGAATCACCTAGAACCCTTTGACCCTAGCGACCTTGTAGCAGGGTCCAGGACACCTCCACTCACATCTTTTCTAACCTTTCTTGCTCATACATACCCAGACCTTATATATACCAGGATGGTTTGCCTCTCTCCATTGCTGATGAAGATGGTAAGGAAAAATGGATATGGATTCTGAGCTGTATAGAGTGGCCCTAAGTGGCAAACTGGCCCTTGTATGGATTAGAGCAGTGACTTGGGAATTCTGGGAGTTGAAGCCCACTCATCTTAAAAGTTGCCAAGGTTGAGAAATATTGGTTGAAAGGCTTGTCTGAGTATATGCAGTGAGTTTTGGGTTGCTCCGTAGCAGATAACTGCATGCTCCAGAGCTTGCTATAGGATACATCATTTTGAATGCAACTTGCCTACAGAATCCTGATTCACTTTTACAGTCAATACTGTTTGGAATTCTGGGCGATCTCTCCTCGTTTTGGCAGCACCCTGCCACCAACAGCATATGATATCCAGGATCAAGACCTATCTCTATGGAGATGTTGAATTTGCCTTTTGTTTATGCAAATGGGTAAAAAACTGATCAAAATCTTGCCACAGGAGCAGCAGGAAAAGTGAACATTTGCATAATTTGTCTTTCGATACATTGTGTTATTTCCCTTAATATTGTAAATGCAAAGTCAATCTAATTGAAAATAATTCATTAAGAGCATGCAATGGGATGGGATGGAAAATGACTGGATCTCAGAATGGCCGCTCCTGGATTTTTTTTTTTTCCCTTTTAATTCCAAGGTCTTGCTTTTATAGGCTTAGGGTCAAATAAGTGATTATCTTACTGGGATTAACCCCAATTAGTGGTGGTTAGGTTTATTTCCTCTGGATATACACACATCTCATCTTTCCACTGGTAGCATCACAGATGGATTTATTGAAATCATTATTTTTAAAAAAATATATAGTTAGGTAAAATATTTGTAAGTCTAAAAATGGAATGGATGATCTTTTTTATCCCACT